GCCCCGCTCTTGAGTCGCCTGCCCCGCCGACAGAACGTCCTCTGATATATTCTCCATGAGAGAACCACGCGCGTCAGGATCGACAACTCGATCCAAGAAGAATCTCGCTTCTCGCACCGCGTGGCCCACCCTGGCAGAAAAGGCCCTGTCAAACATATTCGGTCGATGTGATCGCCGCCGCCTCCTCCGCCACTTGAATGCCAGTAGTCGGTCTTGATCCGCTTTTCGCTGGAGTTGGCCAAAGTGCCGAACGCCGTGCCCAGGCCATCTCCGTCCATCCGCAGTCGCTCGTGCGTCGCCGATATCTTTCATGGCATGATCGACCGTGACACATCTAGCTGGAAGGGCCCCCCAAAGAACCTCAGTTGGTCGTGGGGCATCCAACTGCGTTGCCGATATGTCGTGCTGCCTGCGCCGCAAACAAACTCCATGCTCTGGACATCAGATGCCGGTCCGTCAGCGCCTCCGCATCTGGAACGCAACAATCACTGCGATCAGCCTCTGCACCAGCTCGAGCAGCCCTCCAGCACGGCGACGCACTGCGCGGCCCAGAGACAGCCTCATTGTTGCCGAGCGTGGGAGAAGCAGAATGCGCCAGCTTCCTTAGGCTCCGAGCCTTGCCCTCCAGCTTAGGACACACAGGCCGATACGATCGCGCGGGCGATCGCAGATCCGCTCGAACGTCAGCTATGGCTCGAACAGCAGCAGTGGTCAGGGCAAACGAATCGACGATCGCGCTGCCATTCCCTCCTCTACGCGCCGCCGCCTTCGGGGCCCTTGTGGCCGTAGAGCTGGGGGCGCTAAAACTTGGCGCCTCCAGCTTGCTGAGGGGGAAGTTCCAATCCGCGCTAGCGAGCACTTCGCATTCTTGCCGCCTGCTCCCACTTTAGTAAACGAGCACTTATAAATGAAATGCAACATCGTGGGCCGCGAAGCCGGGTCAACGACGACGCGCTGAGCCCGGTGCCCCCACAACTGCGCGCGCCCTAGCCTTGGTCGCCGCGGGCCATGTCCACCTCGCGCAAACGCCGGAACTCCAGCTCCAGGAAGCACTCCTGATGTCGGGTAGCTAGGAAGCGCATGCACGCGCCACCCTCTGCTTTGCGCCCGCGACGTCGGCGCCTCGAGCAGGTCATTCAGGTGGCTAATCTCCTGGGCAAGCACGACGTCCGCAGTAGTTGCCTGCAACCTCTGCTTGAGGGCCTTCTTGCCCCCGCTGGCGTCGAACGTTTCAATGCTGCGCGGGACGGACTGCCCTCCGAGATCCCCTCGAGGCCATGCGTGTCCACGCCCAGGATACTCACGAACTCGAACATCAAACGACTTGCCGCAGGGTCCGAGGGATGGGCCTCTCCATCCGCTGTCGCTCTATGTCTGCTTCCATCTTGTCGAATATTGCCATGGGGAACCGATTCCACCATCCTCTGAAGGGTTGAACAACTCACGATTCTGGAACTCGCTGAACCGACACCGCCCAGCATCATAACAAGCAGGCATAGTCTCAGGCGTAGGAGGCGCAGCAGAAGCTTGACGCTCTGCGCCCAGCTTGACGAGGAGATGAGCTCGGCTCGCAGCTTCCCCCAGAGCTCGGACTTGACGAACTCGAGCACAACTCGGTCGATGATTTGCTGGTGCGAATTAAGCTTGGCACCCGTGGTTGGCGGTGCCCTTGCCTCTGCCATTCTGGAAAACTCCGAGCTGAGCGCCTCGATCTCCATTAACTTCGCTTTCACTGTCGCCTTCCTGCCAGCAATGGACAATGGCAACTGAAGGAGCTGAACCTCTACCTCATCTTGCTCATCCTGCACCTTTTGCATCTGGGCCCGGGGCTTCTCGAGGGCCTGCTGAGCTCGTCGGTGAACTGTGTGGCGGTAGCATCGATGTGCGCTCTCCCTTTGCAGCGTCGAGCTGTGCTTGAATCGGCTTCCGCAGCTCCGCCATGGCTGGGCAAGCGTCTTGTGAAGCTTGTCAGTTCTCGCGGAGAGCAGTGAACTTCTTGGAGCTGTCGCAGGTTTCTACACCGGCATCAAGGCCCGCGGTCGCAGCGCATCCAGCTCCCGCTTGATCTGCATTGGCCTTCACAAGCCACGTTCGCCCGTGGTTTGTTTCAAAACCCGATCCGAGCTTGGGCCAATTCGCATCCTTGTCCTGCGCCGCCATGAGCTTAACAACTTCAGCTGAGGGCTGAACCAGGGCGCCTTTGGACTCACCCTCACACCCGCCTTCCCGTTCCCTTTGCCTTTTGCCATCTCTCGTTGCCGCATCATGCGCCGTTTGCGGGGGCCCTGCAGCACCGTCGACCCCTCGCACTCACTTCCTTTGGCCATCGAGCAATCGAGATCGAGAGGAAAGCAAGTGGAGTGCCCCGACAGGAGCTCACAGGAACCTGCGCCGCGAGGCGGCTCGCGCACTGGTGCGATGAAAGAAAACTGGAGGTCTAGCCGCGGACTAGCGGTATCCATTTGTTTCACAAGGGCACCCAAAAACCCGGAGACAAAATGGATACGGATGCTCATGACGATGATCGGTCGGAGAAGGGAGGAATGGTGAGGGTCGGCCGCAGCTGCAATATTTGATTTCCTGCCTGCGGGGGGGGGAATGCGTCCCTTGGAGAGGAGCGCGAGTCTGCGCAAAGGAGCCCCCCCTCCTGGCGCTGACGCAGACCAAGGCTGCGCGATAGCTCTGCCAATTTGGCTGCGCGTCCATAGGTCCATAGCCGCATTCCAGAGCGGACGCTGGACGGCGTCGTAATCATGACAGCCATCGACACCGACTGGGCATACTGGATCGCGCGGGGCTCAAGGAAACGGAAACCCGCTGGGAGCCTGGCATGCAGGCGCAGTGGCCGAGAACAAACAAAACGCTCTTGCCGAAGGGCCCACCAATATGCAGCTGCGACTACCGCGAAGCAATGCGGACACAGCCGATTCAAAGCCACGGGCCCAACACCATAGGATTGTCCAGAATACCATATATGAGAGGTATGTTTGGGGTACGTGGGGAGAGCAAACAGAACCTTTCCTTGAACCGGTGCGGCTGCGGGCGTTCCGGCCTGCTACCCTCCATTGCCATGCACGCTCCTTCCGGCAATGTTTCCTTTCCCTCTGCCCGATGGAATATCCATCCTGCCCTGCCTTCCCGTAAACGAAAAGAACATGATGATGACGATGACGATGAAAAGGTTAATGGCTGTCGCGATGGTGATATCAGTAATGACGATGCTGCCCACGATGGTGGTGATGATAATGATGGGGGTTGTGATGGTCATACCCCAGTCAGCATGTCGACACGCGGTCTGTTAGTGTCAGCAGGGGCTGAAGGATGACAGCCACGACGAAGATGGGGAAGCACTCGAGGTTGCCTTGCAGAAAGACCAGCGAGGGCGAGGGTGAGAAAGGACCGCCCAGGCACCAGGCGGTGAATAGCGGCTCACTGTAAACGTGCAGGTAATCTGTCTTGCCGCTGTTCCGTATCGCATCGTTCACCCCCCAGATGATAAACACGGTGTTCAGGCATATGACCGCGCTGCAGAAAAGCGAGAACGGCCTGCTCGTGACTATGCACGCGAGGCCGCTGGTCCGCGCCGGCTCCGCCTCCTTGAGAAAGAGGGCGGTCAAGGGGTGCGCGGACGCCCTCATCCTCCTCTGTTTCCTCTGCTTCCTCCGCTTCCTCTTCCTCCTCGTCCTCCATAGTTAGCCACCTCGCCTAGGTTCTTCTTGGGCCCTCTTTGGGGCCTCCTAGTGCCCTCTTGGGCCCGCTTGGGAGCCTCTCGGGGCCCTCTTCGGCCGGTCTCTCTGTGGCCGTCTTGGGGCTCTTGGGTCCCCCTTGGGAGCCTCCTAGGCCGTCTTGGGGCAATCTCGGATGCCCTAAGAGCCGTCTTCGGCCGATCTAGGCCCGAAAAACAAGAACCAACCAAACCGTGAAGCACATACATAAACACACATAAATTTGTTTCACATCCTCATGCTATCTGTGGGGTCCTCTTGGGAGGCTCTTGGGCCGCCTCAGGCGCCTTTGGGCCGTCTTGGGGGGTTTGGGCCGCAGTGGGACACTCTTGGGAGCCTCTTGGGCCCAGCTGGGCCCCTCTTGGGCGGTCTTGGGGCTCTCTTGTGCCGTCTTGAGGGGGCCTCAATGGCCGTCTTGGGGCGATCTGTCTGGCCTGTTGACCAGTCCTGCACCGTCGGAAGCACAAAATGCAACAACCCTATGTTTTTGGCCTCCTGAGGCTCTCTGGAAGGTCCTCTTTGGCCGCCTTGGGCCCTCCTGGACTGTCTGAGAGAACGCGATCTGCCGCCGCTTGGCTGGAACAGGACCCCCCCCCGGCTCGAACCAGGGATAGGGGGGGCGGCGAGCTTCGGCCACGAAAATGGGTTTCCCGACCGAAATTCGGCGGTGGACAAAACCTCCCTTTCGTAAACCTCCCCTTAGTGAAAACAGCCTGGACCCGAGGCCGACGGACCTGGACCCGCAAAAATAACGGCCGCGACGCCCCCTCGCGAACCGAAAACGGCCAATTCCTTCATCGACGCGTCAGGGTAGGAGGTCTGTCCACCCCCGATAAATGAGCGAGACGAAAACCCGAGCTCCTCCCGAGCCCAAGGCGGTCCTCAATTCAGGGCCTCGACGGTGCCCGAGATCGGTCAGCATCGAACTGGCCATCGCTCGGACGTCCATTCCCCGTGTTTTTTGTCGGTGTTGTGCGTGGTTTTTCCGCCACACGATCAAGGATGCTCCTCGATGGTCCTCGCCGAAGGAAAAACTGCACACGTCCGAGCGATGCCAAGACATGAGCGAGACGAAAAGCCGAGCTCCCCCCGAGCCCACGACGGTTCGAATCGGGTCGGCTGCGCCAAGATGCACAACAGCGCTATGCAAACGTCGGGCCACATCGGATCGTCAAGACTGAAGGGGCCCTGGGACACACAAAAATCAATACACACAAATAAAAAGGTCCCCCATATTTTCCGGGCGTCTGTCTTCCCTCCCACTTCCCATATTGCCCCATATCTTCCTGGGAATCGACGATGAATTGTGTCTGTGTGTTTGTTCCCCTCCTGAAAGACAGCGGAATCGAATCGGATCGGGCTGGCCAGAATAGAGGTCGACTCGGATCACTCGGATCGACATGGACCCTGCCCTCAGCCATGCAGACGTAGGCACTGACAAGCGTGAACTTGCACATCACATTCGTGTCGTAGCGGCCCTGTCGGAGGCCTGGAAATTGGCACCAACACCAAGACAGAGGGCTGCCTCCACAGGGGGAAGATGATCCTAGATTTTCGGTGCTGGTGGTAATAGTTCGGCCACCTTGGAAGCCAGAATATTACCACCATCGCCGAGACCGGGATCTCCTTCCCCCGGTGGAGGCACACCGCCGAAATTGGTGTTGGTGTCAATCTCTAGTTGGGCGCCCGAGTTATCCGGGGTAACTCGGGTTTGGATTCCCGAAAAAGGAACCCGAGTTAGCCCTGACCCGAGTTGCCCCTGATGATGTGGGGCTCTGGGTGCCCGAGTTATCCAGGGTAACTCGGGTCTGGGGCAACTCGGGTCTGGATTCCCGAAAAAGGAACCCGAGTTAGCCCTGACCCGAGTCACCCCTGATGATTCGGGGCCCTGATCTAGGCCTGCGACCCCGTTCCTGGCACCGTGCGGATCGTTCTGCCTCGAACGATCGGCTGCTTCCTGGATCGAAGTGGACCCTGCCCTTGGCCACGTAGGCGTATGCACTGACAGACGTGAACTTGCACATCACGTTCGTGTCGTGGCGGCCCTGTTCCTGGCACCGTGCGGATCGTTCTGCCTGGAACGATCGGCTGCTTCCTGGATCGAAAATGGACCCTGCCCTTGGCCACGTAGACGTATGCACTGACAAACGTGAACTTGCACATCACGTTCGTGTCGTGTCGGGGAGACGTAAGACCCGGGTACGGGGGACTCGGAAATCCCCGACGAGGTCGTCAAAAAAATGACGAGGCCGAGCCTGCATTTTGACGAGGCCTCCCGCTGCAGACATCCCACGAAACTCCTCCTCGTCAAAATCCGAGGCGCGGTCGTCAAAAAACGATGGCGAACCCGGGTCCCGGCAAACCCGGGTCTTACGCTCCCCCGATCGTGGCGGCCCTGTTCCTGGCACCGTGTGGATCATTCTGCCTTGAACGATCGGCTGCTTCCTGGCTCGCAACCGCTCGCGGCGCGTTCCGCCTGGAGCGCCCGCGGCGGGGCCTCCGCCACCGCCGCCTCGGCACGACACGAACCTGCCGCACGAGTGAGAGAGTGCGCCACAGAGGGCAGCGTCAGGGGGGGGGGGGTCCCCTCCTCCTCCTCCTCCTCCTCCTCTCCTCCTCCTCCTCCTCCCTCCTCCCTCCTCCTCCTCCTCCCTCCTCCTCCTCCTCCTCCTCCTCCTCCTCCTCCTCCTCCTCCTCCCTCCTCCTCCTCCTCCTCCTCCCTCCCTCCTCCTCCTCCTCCTCCTCCCACCCCCCCTGGCACCGTGGATTAGGGGGCCTGCCGAGTCCACCCCAGAGGCCCTGCTGGGTCCCGGCGCACGGCGCCGGAGGCATGTTCTGGGAAGCCCTCCCTGGAACATGCCTCGAGGATCTCTCCAGAGCAAGGCTGGAAGATCCCGCTGGACTCGACACGATGGCGGATGGGTCGGCACCACTCCGGTTTTTCCCGGTGTCTAGGAGGATCACCTCGGCCATGCATCGTGTCACGGTTTCCGCCCACTGTCGCGTTACGGACGCGGTGCGGCAGCTCAGTTCCCCAGGGGGCTGTGGCAACGTTCTTTCCTGGCAAAGACCGCCGAGCGAACATGGCCGGATTCTGCGCCTGGGGGGCAGCATCTGTCTGCCCAGGCGGTCGTAGCAGGAAGTGCAGAAGTGGTGGCAACGCCACCTCCGCCAACGGACCGAAACCGTCCGTGCCCGTTTGGCTCGAGGACTGTTCGCCTCGGCGCGGGAAGTGGTCAACACCCGAACCGGCACCAGCGAGCGAGAACGCCTTCTCACTCGCCTCGCAATCCCAGTGCGCACGCCATTGAGAGGACGATTCCGACGACCTGGTGGCACTCCTCCTACAGGCGGGTGTTTGAAGATAAATTAAAAAATGGTCCAACCATAGCCCCAAAATGTAAAACCAGTAGAAACATCGTCACCAGGCTGTTTTTTTTGTATTTTGAATTTTCCTCCGCTAGAGCGACATGCCCGATCCAACACTTGAGGAAGCCATTGCCCATGCGGCTTCTGGAGGTCCTCAAGCTGCTCGGGAGACTTGCTAAGAGGACATCTTGGACGACACGTCTTTGGAGACGAATCCAGCGGTGGTGGAATCGGAGACGGAGATGTCGGACTGTTAGCTCTGCAACGGATTATCAGCCCAAACGATAATTACCACTGCCGACTTCCAGAACCAACTGGTCGTAATGCACCTCCGCCAGTGCCGGTCCTGCTTCGACGTTCTCGTCGGACCTTCGGTCGCCTGCGGTCATTGCGGCGCCGAATTCCACGCGCACTGCATGCAGGTCGGGAGCATGACGCCCGTCTGCTACACCTGCCTGGGCGTCAGGGACATGATCCTCGCCCAGCGGCGCGCGACGTGGACGGGGCATATGGCCTCGCAGATGGGCCGCAACGTCGCGAGTGGCAGCCAGCTGGCCAGCCAGCTGGTGGAAACCACGGCCATCGGCGTCGCCATGGGTGCCACGCGGCTGAGCAGTAGAGCTGTGGCTGGAGCGCCCAGACCCTTGGCGGCGCGTCCATGGTCGGCGGGCCCGCGCGCTTGGACATGAGGAGCTGCCGCAGCTTGCCGCCGGCCCGCCCCAGCGATGGCGACAGTCGCGGCTCTCGAGGCGGAGATCGTGAGGCTCTGGGCCGAGCTCGAGTCGCGCTCCGGCGACGCCGCAGCCAGAGGGGCCTGCAGGCGACGATGCCCAGGAGGAGGACAAGGAGGATAAAGGGGTGGAGGCAACTGCTGAGACTCTAGCTGCTGCAGGCTCGGATGCCGTGGCCGCCACAACTTTCAGGCCGAATGCTGGCGCAAGATTCTGCGAGCGCCAATATGACGGCCGATGCTGGTGTCCGCATGTTAGGAATGTTTACGTGCACGCACCACGGCACTGGCATTGAGATTGTCTCAATGCTATGAAATGCAATGCTATGCGATACACACGCTATGCGATGCCCGATTGCCCCATCAGGGCCCAGAATACTACGTTCTTGATAATGCAATCGAAATTCAAGTGTTGTGTTTTCTGTTAGACTTATGGCTGCAATCCGTAGATGGACAGAATCTGCGGACAGTTGTGTCGGCCGCCATGTAATGGCTCTAGACACAGGCCCCAACAACAACCCAATCACCAGCTGGAAGCACTCCCCCCTTATTGTCGAGCTCTGAAAGCTATCCCCCCTCCCCCCACTCTGCAGGAACCTCCCCCCCTCTCCCCTTTGCCCCGCTCGAACCCTGTAACTTACTCCCCCCTTGAACCTCCCAAGTTGAAGCCCCTCCTCCATAACGACGCGACGACGACGGCGACGGCGACGGCGACGGCGACGCCGGCGACGACGGCGGCGACGGCAGCGACGGCGGCGACGACGACGACCGACAGCAACGACGACGACGACGAGCACGAGGACGAAGACAGCGACGACGACGACAACGACGACGACGGCGATGGCGACGATGGCGACGACGACGACGGCGACGGCGGCGGCAACAGCGACGGCGACGGCGACGATCATGACGACGCCAAGGGCAACGGCGACGACGGCGACGGTGACTGCGACGGCGTGCGGACAGGGCGCTCGCGGTGCCGGCAGCAACAGCAGCAGCAGCAACACCAGCAGCAGCACCAGCACCAGCAGCAGCATCACCATCACCACGACCAGCAGCACCAGCAGCAGCACCAGCCGCAGCAGCACCACTATGCAACGCAGCAGCAGCAGCACCAGCAGCAGCACCGACAGCATCAACGCCAAACCCAATGGCAGCAGCAAGCAGCATCAATAGCAGCAGCCGCAGCACCCCACACACCAGCAGCACCAGCAGCACCAGCAGCAACACCAGCAGCAGCAACAGCGGGACAGAAAACGAGACTATTCCACTCGAACTGCCTGGTGGAAGCGACAGGAGAATGAAACAACATAAACTACTCCACCCCACCACTCGCCACGTGGCAACGCCTGCGGGACGGAACAACTACTATTTCCCTGTGCTCGGCTGGGAGATTGCGAACAAAAACTGCTTCACTCCCCTCGCCACTCGGCAACGCTCGGAGAAAAAAAAGGGGGAAACAAACACTACTTCACGGTACTCACCACGTGGGAGCGCCTGCTAACCAAACTCAGATACTCCCACTCTACGCGGAACCTAGCAACGAGGCTGGGCGGGAATACATGATACCACACTCTATTCGCCATACGGCAACGCCACGCGGCAAGGCCTGAGGGGCAAATCTAACACGATCCCACTCCGCTCGCCATGGGGCGACGACATGGGGGGGTGAACAAGAAACATAGCTCCACTCTACTCATCACGTGGCAGTGCCGTGCAGGCCGAACCTGCAGTCGCACTCTACTCGCCACGTGGCAGCGCCTGCGGGGCGAAACATAGCTACTCGATTCTACTGGGCACGTGGCAGCGAAGCGGGGCGGGGACAACTGTTCCTCCACCCTACTCGCCACATGGCATCGCCACGTGGCAAGGCCTGATAAGGGGGCAAACCACAATACGGTCCGACTCCACATGCGCAACGACATGGGGGCGAACAAGAAATATAACTCCACTCGAACAATGACGTGGCAATGCCGCGCAAACCCGACATATAACATCTCGCTCTAGCCGCCACATTGAAAAGCCTGGGGGGCGAAAATCTTCTGCTCTGTTCGCCACGTGGCAACGCCGCGGGGCGGGAACAAATCCGCCGACCCTGTCGGCGTGCGACAAGGGCTGTTCCGTCGCCATCGCCGTCGCTGCCGCCGTCGCATCGCCGCCGCACTCACGCTCCGTCCTTCCGTGAGTCGCCGCTCCCCCATTTCCTTGGGCCTTCGTCCACAAGCACGCCAGCCAAAGCGAGAAATACACCAGCCCATCCACAGCGAAATTGAGCAACGTTGTCGTTGAGTCGAGGGGAAGCCCCTTCCCTTAGGCAACGGGGCAGCGACAGGCTGGCGAACAAAATGCAAGACAACTTTTTGCGCGCCACGTGGCACCAAAGTCGCACAACGAAAGTGAAATACTTTATTGCATTCGGCGTGGCAGCTCTGCGGAGGCGAACACCAAAATATACTCAGCACGTGGCTCCAAGGCGGACAAATACGCTCACATGCGACGACGATCACGACGACGACGCCGACGACGACGACGGACGACGATGACGACGAGGACAACGACTACGAAGACGATGACGACACCGACGACGACAACGACGACGAACATGGCGGCGACAACGACGACCACGACGACGCCGACGCCGAGGCCGAGGCCCCAGGCCGAGGCCGCCGCCCGCCCGCCCTGCCCGCCCGCCGAGGCGAGAGCCCGCTCCGCCCGCGCGCTGGCCCGCCCGCCGGCACGCCCGCCCCGACCGCCAGGCCGCCCCGCCGCCCGCCCGCGCGCCCGCTCCCCCGCCGTCGCCCTCCTCCCTCACTCGCCCCCGCGAGGCGGCGGCCGCCAGACCGTGTCCCGGCGAGGAGGCGCGCGGCAGGAGGAGGGCTCCCTCTCCCCCAGCAGCCTCCCCCTCCTCGACCTGAGCCGAGGATCTCCTTCCTCTTCCCCGCCCGCATCCTCCCCGACATCCACCACTGAGCCGACGATCTCCTCAACCCGGGGAGGAGTCCTGAGAACCTCCTCCTCCTCCTCCTCCTCCTCCTCCTCCTCCTCCTCCTCTTCCTCCTCCTCCTGCTCCTCGTCCTCCTCCCCCCTCCCCCCGCAGGATGTAGACCCCGAAGCCCTGCATACATTGTTTTCCTTTGGCACAGTCGCGCAATACGCTGCACTGCATTGCATTGCGCTGCGTTCCTCTTCCCTATTCCGCCTCCCTCCTCCCCCTCGTTCGTCCTCTACCTCCCCTCCTCGCTCCTCCTCGACCTCCTTGCTCCTCCCCGTCCTCCTCGTCCTCCTTCCGACCCTCCCACCTCCCCTCTCGACCTCCCTCCTCCCTCCTCCTCTCCCTCCCCCTCCCCCTTCCTCCTCCTCCTCCTCCCTCCTCCTCCTCCACCTTCTCGCTTGTCCTCCAACGCCTCCTACCTCCTCGTCCTCCTCCCTTCTCTCCTTTCCTCTTGGCTCCCCTTCCTTCTCCTCCCTCCTGCCTCCTCCATCCCTCCTCCCTCCTCCCTCCTCCGCCTCCTCCTGCTCCCTCCTCCCTCTTCCCTCCTGCCTCCTCCCTCCTCCCCCCCCTCCCTTCTCGCTCCTCCCCTTCCCTCTCAACCCACTTTTCCTCTACCCATCACCACTCCCACACCACTCCCCAAATTCGGACTTGCTTGCACTTCCCAAATTTCGCTTGCCCAAATTTGATGTTGAAATTTCCAAATCTGGTCCGTTTCCGCGTTCGTCCAGAGCATGTCCGGGTTTGCCCAGACATGTTCCTGGCTCGTCACGTGACTCTCATTTGTTTTGTTGAGTTTCCCTGGTTTGTCCTGTCAATTTCCTGGCTCGCCTTTTTATCTCTGCCCGCCACATGGCGACGCTGGGAGGGCAAACCAGCAGTGCGGTGTTCAGTAGCCCACGTAACACCAAACATACAGACATACGTACTAGACTACGGTACGAGCCGTGTGGCAGCGCAGAAAGCAGAAACGAATAGTATGTATCACCGCAGGGCGACGAAGACAAGGACACGATCGGAGCGGACGCGCAGATAGCGAAAGCAATTCTAATTCAGTAATTTGCGCTGCACTAGGTCAACGCGCGACGACGACACCGCCGACAACGACGACGACGGCGACAGCGGCGACGACGAAGGCTACCTCCGACAACGACGAGTAGACGGACGACGAAGACGACAGCAATTACGAGCACACCCGAAGGGACGACGGCGACGACGACGACGACTAAGCCCACGACTGCGACGACCACGACGACCACGACGAAGAGAACGACGACAACAGCAGCAACACCGCCCCGCAGTTCCACAAAGCACGACCCGAACGCAGAGATGGGGGTAGCTTCGAAGCCCCCCCCCCCCGCACCGGCAGGCAAGCCCGGGCACGCCCTCAGCCCCGAGAACAGGGCGAGGGGGGTGGCTTCGGGCCCCCCGCCCCGAGCATCTGGCAACCCCCACCTTTGCAGACGAGGTAGGGGGATTTGGGGGGCAGCTCCGGAAGCCGCCCCCTCCCCCGTGTTCAGCCAAGCCCAGGCCGTGGGGTGGGAGGCGATGCTGAAGCCCCCCTGCCCCTACGGCAGGGAGGGGGTAGCTTCCGCCCCCCCCACCCCCTATGCCAAGAACAAGCCGAGCTCACCCCAAGGGAGAATAGGGGGGGGGGCCCTCAATTTCCTAAGTTGCTGAGGGAGGTGTAGCTCCAGACCCCCCCCCTGGTGAAAGGAGGGGGGGGAGCTTGAAGTTGGCTCCCCCCCTTTGTTCTTCGCGTTTCCCGCAGCGCGCGCCATCGTATGTACTGACCAACGTGCGTTTGTATATGTTTACTAGAACCACGCGCGCGCTTTGCGCGCGCTTCGGTTCTGTCGAGTCACAGACCCAGGAATCCTCCTCCTCCTCCTCCTCCTCCTCGTCTTCCTCCTCATCCTCGTCCTTTCCCGAGCGATACAATAACAACTTGCGTGGAACCCCTCTCGGGCCCATCTTGGGGCTCTCTTGGGCCGCCTTTGGGGCCTCTTGGGGCGTCCTGGGTCTCTCGTGGGGGCTTCTTGGAGCTCTCTTGGCGCCTCCTGGAGCCTCTTGGGGCCGAAAGCTCGGAATTCTACAGTGGCTTTCTCCCTCTGGGACCCCTCTCGGGCACGCCTTGGGGCTCTCTTAGGCCATTTTGGAGTTCAATTTTGCCGTCCTGGGCGCCTCGTGAACCGTCTTGGAACTCTCTTGGGGCCACCTAGGCCGTCTTGGGAGCCTCTTCGGACGTGTTGGACGCGGTGAAAACCCAACAAGCGACCATGCGAAAAGTATACGTTTTCCCATCGGAATGGGACCATTTTTGCTTCTTGGACCTCTCTTGGGGTGCCTCTCGGAACGTCTTGGGCTGATTTTGGAGCCTTTTGGCGCCTCTGGACGGCGTTTTGGCGCCTCCTGGAATGTGTTGGGCCGGAAGCTCGGAATTCGAGAGTGGCTTTCTCCTTCTGGGACCCCTCTCGAAGTCGTCTTGGGGTTCTCTTGGGCCGTCTTGGGGCCGTCCTGAGCCACTCGTGCGCAGCCTTGGAGTGTTCCCGGAGGCCTCCTAGGCCGTCTTGGAGGCCTCTTGGGCCGTCTTGGACGCGGTGAAAGCCCAAGATGCGAACATGCGAAAAATATACGTTTTCCCATCGGAATGACACGAATTTTGTTTCTTGGACCTCTCTTGAGGTGCCTCTCGGAACGTCTTGGGGTGCTTTTGGGAGCCTTTTGGCGCCTCTTGGCGGCATTTTGGCGCCTCCTGGAGCCTCTTGGGCCGGAAGCTCGGAATTCGAGGTTGGCTTTCTCCGTCTGGGACCCCTCTCGAACTCGTCTTGGGGCTCTCTTGGGCCGTCTTGGGGCCGTCCTGGGCCACTCGTGCGCAGCCTTGGAGCGCTCCCGGAGGCCTCGTAGACCGTCTTGGGCGCCTCTTGGGCCGTCTTGGACGCGGTGAAAGCCCAAGAGGCGAACATGCGAAAAATATACGTTTTCCCATAGGAATGGCACGATTTTTGCTTCTTGGGCCTCTCTTGGGCTGCCTCTCGGAGCGTCTTGGAGGCTTCTGGGACCTTCTTGGTGTCATGACAGGCGTCTTGGAAGGCATCTGGAGCCATCGGAGCGCGTTCCGAAGCCGCCTGCGAACGATCTTGGACGGCGTCCGGCGGTCCGACGAGCCTCCGGGCCGCCTGGGGCCCACATTTGCGGTCGGGGTCCCGGCCCCGGGCCCCCGGACCCGGTGCGCCGTTATATATGTATACATGGCTACATGGTTACATGCGTGTGACTAGTTAGGGCCAGGCTGGAGAACATGTTCGCCCTAGGCTCCTCCCAGCATCCCGTGAGGGCGTGCTCGATTTGCTCGATGATGGAGGAGGCGATCGGGCCGACGCCATAGGTACTTGCGTCCGATGAAACCTTGCGGACACAGAAGCGTGACCAATCAGACAGACTGCCTCTTCCTCATGGCCCCCCTTTCTCCTCACACCCGAAATAGAAAATCGACGCGTGGACGACTCCTTCAATGTTCGCGTCCCGCTCACTTTGTCATGGTTTGTGGCCGGGTTCGCTATGACGTTCACGTGCTCCTGCATGGTGTCACTTGCCCGGAAGGGCGTGCTGCCAGCAATACCGTCATCACTGCAGCTCCTCCTGAGGGCGGCTACCTTTTTTTCGTTATTACCCCTGGCCTACGGCAAGGTGCGAACCACGACGGAACGACACAGCGTGCACATACTCAATTTAGCGAGTGGTGCTCTGGGCAAGCGGAAGTCGCGCCGTACCCCTATGGATGACAGAATCTCGAATCCATGAGGAGCGGAATTGGACATCGACAACAATCTGCATCAACACCTTGGAAAGCGAAAAGTGTGTGCCATTATAAAATCTCGGCCATGTCTTGATATCATCGGGTGGTAGCTCGCTTGATTTGGAGGAGCACGTGCTCTCCTGTAGTTTACAAGTGGGCCGTGCTTGAACATCAAATGGGGACTCACGGTCGAGATGACGGAGGACGAGCGAGAGGGAGGAGGAGGAGGAGGAGGAGGAGGAGGAGGAGGAGGAGGAGGCAACGATGGGCAGGATGCAATGGGCGCATCGACCACGAGGTCGGGACGAGGCCACGCCGGGACGAGCGCGAGGTCACCCTGGGCGCTGCCGCGGCCGAGCCTCCGACAGAGCTGGACGCGAGGCGGCCAGCTGAAGCGCCCTTGAGCAGCGCCCTCGCGAGGGCGCCAGAGGAGGACGAGGGAGGAGGGCGGACGAGGAGGAGGAGGAGGAGGAGGAGGAGGAGGAGGAGGAGGAGGAGGAGGAGGAGCGGAGCAGGAGGAGGAGGAGGAGGAGGGGAGGAGGAAGGAGGAGGAGGAGTGGAGGAGGCGGGAGGAGGGAGTGGAGGAGGAGGGAGGAGGAAGACGAGGAGGAGGACGAGGAGGAGGAGGAGGAGGAGGAGGAGGAGGAGGAGGAGGAGGAGGAGGAGGAGGAGGAGGAGAGAGGAGGGAGGTGAGGAGGAGGAGGAGGACGAGGAGGAGGTGGAGGGAGGAGGAGGTGGAGGTGGAGTGGAGGTGGAGGAGGAGGAGGAGGAGGAAGAGGGGAAGAGGAGGAGGAGGAGGAGGAGGAGGAGGAGGAGGAGGAGGAGGAGGAGGAGGAGAGAGGAGGAGGAGGAGGAGGAGAGGAGGAGGAGAGGAGAGAGGAGAGAGGAGAGAGGAGGAGGAGGAGGAGGAGGAGGAGGAGGAGGAGGAGGAGGAGGAGGAGGAGGACGCGACGGGCAGGCACGCGACAGACAAGTCATCGGCGCGAGAACGCGCGGAGCCGCGCGCGGGGAGCCACGACGTCCGTCCGCCAGCCAGGCCCATCGGCCACTGCCGCCGCCCCTCTCTGCGTCTGTCCCTCCCCGTCGTCGACTGTCCTCCGCGGCCTCCACCTCGCGCACCTCGTCCTCCTCGCGGTCCTCGTCCTCCTCCTCCTCCTCCTCGTCATTCTTTCTGCCCTCCCTCCCTCCATCCTCCTCATCCTCCGGCATCCTCTCCACATCCTCCCCCATCCCTTCCCCTGCTTGTCCACCGCCCTCTTGCACGCATGCCCAATGAGACCGTTGTGCACATCGCTCACGGCACACACGCACGCACATACACATACGGCTCAATCCAAGAATCGCCCGAGAGAAGAGCATAGATCCGAGCACGAAATTGAAAGCCAGGAAAGAGCAAGATCCGAGCACGAAATTGAGTCGTGGGCTGCGGGCAGCCCATGGACGTGGGCGCTGGCATGCAGGTCGGCGCGTCTGCGTGCTCGCCGAAAAATGCTCAAACCAACATTGCGCAATGAGATCCTCGAATCATATCCAGAGACAAGGAGGAGGATCGGAACTGGAAGGGAGGGGAGAGGTAATCCAGCAAGAGTCGGCTGGGTTAACAGAAACCCTCACCGCCGTCATCGCCCCCCTCCCCCCGCGCCCCGCGCCCCGCGCCCTCGCCGGCGGCCCCGAGCGCTCCTCGTACGCCGGGACCTCGACCGGCCAATGTCCGCAGCGCCGTGCTCCTCCGCGCTGCGCAGGCCTGCGGCGCGCGCCAGGAGCCCCACGGGCGACGAGAAGAGGGGGGTCTTGCGTTATGTCGGGCCTGCCCCCCTACAGGGGGATGTTCGACGAAAAAAAAGAATACCCCAAACATAGGCAAGAAATACTCCAAAAATTATCTGGGGGGTATCTTTTGAATCTTTGTTGGCTTTTTGGGCGTATTTTTTGGGTATGTTTATGTTTTCGTCGAAAATCCCCCTGCAGGGGGACACGCCCGACATAGGTCTTGCGCGAGATGGCACGACGATCCTGACGCCGCGGCTCGCGCGCGGGTCGCCAGCGCGGCACGCCACAGGGGAAGCGAAGGGCGCTTGCAGGGCAATTGTTAGTACATAGGATGTTTTAAAATGCAGGATGTTTAATACATGATTAATGTATGAATACAAGGACGTTTCTAATACATAGGATTTTTTATACATGGGATTTTTAAAGGACAAGGTCGAAGAGTAGGTAAAATAGCGTCTCGCGCGCGCGCGTCGGAATACATGGGATTTTGAATGACGCTACCGAAGAACCCCACTACTGAATGCATGAACTAATCCTTGTTTGTTATATCAAATCCATGCATTTTTTATACATGACCCGCACGCGGAGCATGTATGAAAAACGGCGCTGTACGCGCAACCTCACGTGCCTCCGTCGGCGCAGTCGACCCCCGTGCTCTTCCGTCGCCTACGCGCAAACCTGGAGGTCGGCGACGCACTGGTAAAGGGAAATTAGGACACACAAATAAATACACACAAATAAACATAGTCCCCATATTTTCCCATATTTTCTGGGTTTTTGTCTTCCCCCCCAATTCCCATAGTTTCCCATATTTTCCTGGGAATCGAGGATTAATTGTGTCTGTGTGTTTTTTTCCCTCCTCCTGAACTGGGGCGCCGCCGCGCGGCACGCCGCATGGGCAACGAGGGCGCTTACGCGCAAGCTTCATTGCGTGCCTCCGCCGGCGCAGTCGAGCCCTGCGCCCTGCCGTCGCTCACGCGCAGAGGCCGGGAGGTCGGCGACGCACTGGGGGCGCCGCTCGAAGAGAGCACTCGGACCGCCTTCGTCACAGCCTCATCCCACTGGACAACCACGTGTGGACCACACCACTGCCGGTCAGAGCTCTGCAGCACGAGAGCGGCGCCCACGCGCCGAACCGTGCTTGGAGTCAGGGCTGAACCGGAACGGTGTTTTCCGTTTTCGTTTCGTGGTTGTGTTCCCTCGACTTTGTCTCGAATCCGCCTTTACCGCAAAACGAAGTCGAAAGGAACGCGGCCCAGGCAATCACCAAGAACACCGTTTGGGTTCAGCCCTGTTTGGAGTCCCTTCAAGGTCTGCCGCAACGTGGTGCGCTGCGTGTGCGGCTCGGAGGGCCGAGCAGCGATGCGCCGTGCACCATTCCCGGGTCGAGGGGACACGGCGCCTCGGGAGACGCCAGCGAGGCACGGTGCACACAGATCGTCCAGGGATGAAAAACTGGCGAGAGGGGGTCCAGATCTGAGGGATGCCCATAACTGTGTCAGCAAAAAACCTACGGAAGTGTCCGATGCCACATTGCCGGCTTGGCACGAACTGGTTCGGGGACGCACCGACTCCGATCAGGGCAATCCCGGGTCAGACGGGCCTTGCATGATCCTGCGCGCAAGCCTGGGTCAAGGCACCCCTGGCTCTGCAGGATCCTGCAAGATCCAGCACTCTGGCTGACCTCCGTCTGCGTTGACCCCCGCCTCAAAGCTACCGAAGCTCTCCATCGCTCGGGCGCCCATCCCCCGTGCATTTTTTGCGGTCTCGCGCGTGCGTTGCTGCAAGCTTGCCCCAACGCACGCGTCCGAGCGATGCCAAGGCAGGGCGTGGCTCTGGGTGCCTCGTCGCCAGCGCAGTGACTCTGCCCAGCCGCCGACGGGACAGGGTGTGGTGGCTTGGGGTGGCCTCGGCTGTAGCCGTTCGAGGGTGCCCCGCGAGGGTGAGCCCCACCGACGAACACGGGCGCGGCGGGACCGACGCCGCGGTCCGAGGCGGACCGCGCTCTCCGGTGCCCTGCACTCGGAGGTTGCCAAGCGTGCCCCTGGCTCAAGGTCCAAGGTGCCCCCTCTTGATCAAACTGAGAGCCCCGGGGTGCGAGGCGGGCATTTCTCAGTGTCCACCGCCTGGGAAGCGACGTCCTGGTGCCCCAGCGGGCGGTGGACATGGACATATTTTGGCCCCCGGGGGCTCGAGCGTATCCAATGGATATGGGATGAACTGGCTGGGATACGTGAAGCGTAAAGAACCGTAGGTGAGGAGGGCGCGACGGACAGGTACTTGAGCGAGGTTGAAAGCGAAGTAGACAGGAGAAGCGCACGGGAACACTGGTAGACGGCAGGGGAGCAAGAGAGAAAGAGAAGGATGGCTAGAAAGAGAAATAGGGGGAGAGAGCAAGAGAGAGGGGGAGAGAGAGAGAGAGGGAGAGAGAGAGAGAGAGAGCAAAGTACCAGAACAGACAGCGCAGGCGCGCTGATGGCCGCGCGCCCCAGAGAGAACGATCAAAGAGGGTACCCACCTCGCCCCTTCTGCGTTCGCCCCCCCTCTTCCCCTATAGTTTCATATTTTTTGCGCCCCCGCACCCTACTTTCCGCTTTCCGACTCGCGCGACGAGGAACCGATCACGAAGCCAAGCCCAGACGCCGCGCGGCAAGCCGGGGCATCAGAGGCAACCCTGCTGCCCGCCCGCCCCCTGGCCCGAACCCCCGCCAGACTCGAGCTCAATGGGATTATGCGGCCAAGCAAGTTGCCCAGCAACCCGGGCAGAAATTATTGGTCCATATCCACCGCCTGTGGAGGTCTGCGAGGATCGATCCCCCAGGCGGTGGCCATGTGTAAATCTCCGCCTCGAACTGGGGCCCTGTGGGGCTCGTGAGGGGTGCTCTGGAGGCCGTGGGGGCCGCCTTGGAAATCCTGGGGGCAACTTGGCCCAAGGGCACATCTAGCAACACCCAAATAACCGGGGCAGGACTGCAGTCGACCGTTGGGCACTCCCCCAGGTGGCCCTTAAGGCCCAACGCGGATGGGATTTGCGGCAGCTTGTGGTGTAAACGAGCCGTCGACTTCTACAAGCGGAGGCGTTCCACAATTCCCGAATTGCGCTGCACAGCCGCGGTCCGACGTTTGAAGGGTGCCGTGAAAACGTGGGGCCCATTTCGGTGGGCGGCCAAGCGGAGCAAGGAGTGGAGGGAAGAGAGAACCGATCATCGAGAATGAACATCTTGGGGTGGCTGGGGCCTCCACACTCGGAGAGCATACCCGGGGAGGATCGATCCAACCGCAAGCGCGCATGACGCACTGTTATCGAGGTTCAGTTTGAAGCGTCGCCGTGGTTCAGTTTTAAGCTGCGCTCGTGTGGCCTGGGTGGATCGGATCGGATCGCCTGTGCGGGCATGCGCACGGGCCCCTTAAGGGCGAGGCGGGTGAGGCCATGGCCTCGCATGAGAGGCAGCGCGCGTCGGAAGCTTGCTCAGGATGATGCGCACCTCACATAATGATGTTCCAAGTGTTCCCACTCCTCTGTTGTAATCCGATGTAGTGACGTAATTTCGTGGGGTGGGTGCGGTGTCGACCTGCGCCCGCCGAGTAGGCCTGCCCTCTTTGAGCAGCCCAAGCAAGACTGCGCTGCGGGCGCAGCCCGTGCTCTGACGCTGTCGGGGTGTCGGGGTCTGTCGCCGTAGCTCCGCTGACGCGCGCAGAGCGTGCCACAACGCGACCACGTGGACCCTTTGCGCGGCCTTCGGGAAGCGTGAGGTTGACCGAACTGCACCAGGAGGTGAGGAGATTTTGGTGGGCCCTTGTTTGCCAGGGTGTGGAGATGTCGCTGACATGTATGGACCAGGAGCTGAGGATATGTTGCAGCAGTATGAGGCATGGCTGTGGGAGTATGGCGCTTGCAGATCTTAAGGCACGCGGTGAGGGCATGTTGCTGGCAGGTTTCGCGCCAGGAGAGGTGAGGAAAGATTCGTGGCAATTCTGGCCAGTGGTGCAAGACATTCTGCTGACAGCTTTCACCCAGAGGGTGAGGACATGCAACATGCATGCCTTTCTTCCGCCACGGAGGGGTGAGGGCATGTTGGTGTTGGCAGCTGCGCCAGACGGGGCGAGAACCTGATCTGACAAGAACGTGACGCGCCGACTTTGTCAAGTGGGCTCGTGGGGGGAAAAGTGATACAGTGGAGGCCAGTCCACCCGAAACCTGTCACAAGACACGCAACCCCGAGACCCCACGACGCCCAGTGATTTTCGGCGTGGGAGCGTCGCGCCCTCCATCGCAAAATCATCGAAACCCAAGAAACCCAGGAAGCCCGCTGGAGGCAGGCAGGGTGTTTCTTGGCATGGGCCTCCACCCCCGAAAAAGGATGGCGGCGTGCCGCGCCAGACGGGGGGAGCGCCGCCGCCGCGCCTGCGGCACCTTGGGGCACGCGGGAACTTGTCCAGAGGTCGAGACTGCGAGGCGGGGATTCATCCATGTCCACCGCCTGGGAACCTACGCCCTGGTGCCCCAGCGGGCGGTGGGTATGGGTGTATTTCGGTCCTCGGGGGCACGAATCTGTCCACATCCACCGCCTGCCGAGGCTCCGAAGACTGCCCCTCCAGGCGGTGGTCATGTATAAATTCCCGCCTTGGACGGAGCAAACGGGAAGCGCGGCTTCTCGGTCGTGGGGTTCGTCGGGGAGGGACGTCGAGGACAATGCTCAGGAAAGAGGGCCGTGTAGGGTTCTTGGGGTTCTGGACACGGGTCCCGAAGCGCACCACAGGCTTCCTGGGCCGTGCAGGGCCCTGGTGTCTTTTTGGCGGTGTCTTGAAATCCATCTGGGAGCCTCTCGTGGGGCTCTTGGGGGCCTCCGCGCGCTGCTTGGGGGCCTCTTGGGGGTTGCTCGGGGCACTTTTGAAATTCTCTGGGGGACATGTGGGGGCTGCTTTGAACCTTTCCAAAAGTCTTGGCGGGCGGCCACGCTGTCCGTCGAGGTTTTCGTATGAAAATTGCAATGTTGCAATACGAAAAAGGAGAACGGGTAATTCCGGGGGGGTCATCGAATTCCTTGTAAGAGTCGGGCACATATGTTGCAAGCTATGTGTTGCAGGTGGTCCTACAAACGAGTTGACGCATCCCACGCTCTTCCAAAGATCCCACCCACCCACCCCCGCAACTGGGCTTGCAAAAACAACATGGTGGCGATTGCGATGATTGTTTGGCGTAGGCTGGTGCATCTCTGCGGCCGCGCCAGCCCAAAAAAACGCGCGCTCGGCGGCCAGTTTGCTTGGCGCGACCGACGCGGCCACGGTGGGGCTGCCTGCTGGGCACGTCCCGGCGGGCACCTCTGCGCGGGTCGGCGACCTGGGCGGGCGCGGCAGAGTCGACAACGGTAGCCACGATGGTGGTAGTGGCGATGCCGGTGAAGATGTTGACAGCGACGACGGCGCGGCCGGTGCGGGCGCCGACGCTGATCGCGCCGACGACGAGGGCGGCGTCTTCGCGTCGGTGACGAGGGTTTTGGAAGGAGTTCGACATGCGCGCGCGGCCGACGCGGGGCAGTGGCCCGCATGGTATTATTTGACACGGATTGTGCCCCCCCCAAGCACGCGCGCAAGGACGCGCGAATGATTTTTCGGCATGCGGAGCCAGAGATCCGTTTGGCAGTGGCAGACCGCCATGCAAGTGTTGAATAACATATGGCTTCCCGAAGAGTTCGCAAGAGCGCGAGCGCACGCTCTCGAAAAAAACGGATTTTGCGGAACCATGTGTTTCTTATATGTTTGTTTGGGCACTCGGTTTTGAAAGTGCTACGAGACGGAAAGTTTTTGACGCGCGCGCACTTCGTCACAACTTTTGCAAAGGATTCTCCCGACGACACGCGCGCAAATACTTAACGGGCGAAGAACGGTATAAAATGAACATTTTCGCAGGGTATACCCTTTCCAGCCGCCCAGGGACAGGCGCCCCCCGACAGCGAAAAAAAATATATGTTATACCGATCTTCGCCCGTTAAAATACGTTCGAACGGTTCCAACATGCGCGCGCGAAGCTCGATTGGTAGCATTTTATGAGCATCTTGAAAAACCCATGGCACTTACGAGTTCGCAAGAGCGCGCGAATTGTTTGGAACATCTGCGTTTTGTTACGTTCGATTTTGACAGAAACTGGCAACTTTTGAAGCATGCCGGCATGCGCGCGCGACAACGCGCACGTGCGCACCTTGCTTCGTTGTTTGTCAAGGGCTCTTGGAAACTGCTGAGGTTTGATAAACGAGTGCGCGCGCATAATGTTTGTTGCAGAGGATGGCGGGGGGGGGCTGATACCGGCTCGGTTGGGAAGGTATGAGTTCATATCTCGGATGGACGATGGGGCAGAACCATGCGCCAACAATGGCAATCTGAAGAGCCGCATAGATAATTCCACGGGGGGAGTAGACCCTGTTCCCTGGTAATTACAAAAAAGAGAGCCCACTTGGTGCAATCTGCAAGGCTCGCACACTCGAAAAGTGCTACCGAATGCAGCGGCGACGGACGGCGGTGACGGGCGGTCACGAGCTGGCCGAACCAGCGTAAAAAGCTCAGTCGCGAGCCGCGCGCAATAAACATCGTGACCAGAATGGGGCGGCGACGGGCGGCGGCGACGGGCGGCCATGAGCCGGTCGGACCGACGCACGAGTCCAGGTCCTTAAGATTCAAACAAGAACTCCTGAGTGCAAGCGCTGTTTGCGGAACATCTAGCTGTATATGCACATCGAAAACGTGTATATATAAGTGTGTATATGTGTGTATACGTATATGCAGAGGTTAGGTAGATGTAGGTATGTAAATGCATATGCCTGTGTGTGAATGTGTGTATGTGTGTGTATATATATATGTGTGTATGTGTAGATTTGTTACAAACATATTTTTATATATGCATTTGAATATGTCATATAGGTGTATGTGTACAGGTATATGTGTATATTTATACATGTGCTTGTATGTGTTTGTATATATATATATATATATATATCAGTGCCTGTGGGCAAGGCGCGGGCGCGTCCTCAGGTCTTTTGCCCAGTCCCTGGAGCCTCAGTCCTCAATCTTGGACGAGGCTCAGAGGGGCAAACTCTGAGCTGTCTTGGGGCTCCCGGCATTCCCCCAGGGCTTCCCGAACGCCCCCTGGCCCCCCCGCATCTTATCCCATGACTCTATCGTTTTCTCTCGAGGCCTAAGCAATCCTCGCGGCCATGCTTGGTTTATCTATTCTCTGGTGTGATGTGGCAACGAAAACTGCCAGGACGCTAGGTCCAGTCGGCTTGGCTGCTGGCCCAAGAGGGGCCCAAAACGGGCTAGGAGGGCCCTGCGAGGCCGCCGAGACGCCCAAAAATCAGCCCCAGCACGCCCAAAATGGCCTCAGGATGGCCCCAGATGCCCCTCCAGGACGCGCCCAAAGGCCTCCAACCCAAGAGGCCCCAAAGACCACCCCAGAAAAGGCCTCCGAGAGGGCCCCGAGACGGCCAAAGAGCGCCTCCAGACAACCCAAGAGGCGCCCAAGACGGCCCAAGAGAGCCCCAGTACGGACCCAAAAGGGGCCCAAGAAAGGGAACGCGAACCAGAAATCCGAGCACCGAGGAGGCCCCAAGAGGCGCCCCAGAGGCCCCCGGGAGGCCGGCACGGGAACTGAAAGGGCGCTGCAGGAACGGACCAGAGAGGGGACCTTCGCTCTGGGGAGCCCTGGGGTTCAGAGCTTGTTGCGTCACCGCTCTCTGTTGGGAGCCCTGGTGTTCGGAGACTTTTGCGTTGCCGCTCGCTTTGGGGAGCCTTGCTGCTGAGAGGTCTTTACGTCACCGCGCTCTGGGGAGCCTTGGCCTTCAGAGCTTGTTGCGTCACAGCTCGCTGTGGGGAGCCATGGTGTCACCTGGCGGCTGTGGGGTTGCTTGGGGGCATGTTCGTGGCCTTTGCGGACCGTTTTGAAACTCTTGGGCCGTCTGTCCCCTCACCCAAGCAGCCCAGTCTTAGGTCGGGCGTGTCCTCCTACAGGCGGATTTTTGGCGAAACATTCAGCATACCCCCAAATTACCCCCAAGTGGCCAAACAATACTCAAAACATCGTCCCCAGACTATATCTTACTATCTTTGAATCTTCCTCCTGTAGAGGGACACGCCCGACTTGAGCCCAGTCCCCACGCCGCCTCTTCGGGCCCTCTTGGGAGCCTCTTGAAGCCATTCTTGGTACTCTCGTGGTCCACGATGCTCCAAGATAGGTCTGTCCACCCCCGAGAATACACCCTGCGAAATGCTTAAGAAACCATGGGTTAAGAAATCATAGTCTCAGAACTTGAATAAAAACCCAAACTTTCTCTTAAAATCTTAAGATTTCCATTGAAACATTAAGAATAATCGAGACTCTGGCCGAACATTTAAGTTTTCTTAAGCATCGCCCAAGGTGTACGTGGACCCCCAGAGCTCTCGACCCACGCCGCGAGACGGGCACTCCATCCCGAGTCGCTCTTCGACGGCCCTGGGCCACGCGAGGGCCCCCCGGGGCAGCAATGACGGCAGCAGGAAACCTCCCGTCGCGCGACCCTTTCACGGCGCGAGGGGGCCTCACCCGATTCCGGTGGATGCCACGACAGCAGACACCCGGACAGCCCTATCATCGAATCAGGCATGGTCCAGATCTTCGGGCGCTGGCCTCGCCGGGAAAGACTTGCACACACCCGAGCGATGCCAGATCTCTCCTCGTCATGCCATGGCCCATCCTCCTCCTCCTCCTCCTCCTCCCTTCTCCTTCCCCTCCTCCTCCTCCCAATCCTCCTGCTCCTGCTCCTCCTCCTCCCCTCCTCCTCCTCCTCCTCCTCCTCCTCCTCCTCCTCAGCATCAGCATCAGCATCAGCATCAGCATCAGCATCAGCATCAGCATCAGCATCATCACCATCAGCATCAGCATCAGCATCAGCATCAGCATCAGCATCAGCATCAGCATCAGCATCAGCATCAGCATCAGCATCAGCATCAGCATCAGCATCAGGATCAGGATCAGCATCAGCATCAGCATCAGCATCAGCATCAGCATCAGCATCAGCATCAGCATCAGCATCAGCATCAGCATCAGCATCAGCATCAGCATCAGCAGCAGCTCAGCAGCATCAGCATCAGCATCAGCATCATCATCATCATCATCATCATCATCATCATCATCATCATCATCATCATCATCATCATCATCATCATCATCATCATCATCATCATCATCATCATCATCATCATCATCATCATCATCATCATCATCATCATCATCATCATCATCATCATTATCATCCTTCCCCACGTCCTCCTCCTCCTCCTCCTCCTCCTCCTCCCCTGATGGGCGGGGGCTGACATATGGGGGGAACATCGACCTGGAATCGGCGATACATCGCCATCGCCGATAGATTGGCGATAGACCCTCGATAGCAAATCCGCACGCTCCTGGGCGGGGTGGGGCTATCAGGCCCCTATCGGCGATCAATTGGCGATTGGGGATCGGTGCATCCCCCCCTCTCGTATTCCCCCACTATCTTCGCCGCCGACCAGTCTGGTTTTCAGTGATAATTCGGCTCTCTGGCGGCCGTTCGGGATGATCCGGACAACCCCAGAACGCCCTCGACGAGGCGCAGCTGCCGGAACGCACGCCGAGGCTGGTAAGCCTCCAGGAACCGATAGAAACGCTCGAGAGCTTCGAACTCCGAAACTCCCCCGTCCCCTGAGTCTGTCCCCCCTTTGGCGTTGCCCCCTCCCTCCACCTCCGCGGCGCACGCCTGGCCGCTCCTCGGGGTCGCCCAGCGTCGCAGCAGGGACGTGCGGGGAGGACCTGTCGCCAGGCGAGGCCTCGCGGAACGCCGACGCACGCCGCAGCCGCCGCCGCCGCCGCCGCCGCCGTCGCCCTCGCCGTCGCCGCCGCCGTCGCCGTCGCCGTCGCCGTCGCCGTCGCGGTCGCCGTCGCCGCCGTCGCCGTCGCCGTCGCCGTCGCCGTCGCCGTCGCCGTCGCCGTCGTCGTCGTCGTCGTCGTCGTCGTCGTCGTCGTCGTCGTCGTCGTCGTCGTCGTCGTCGTCGTCGTCGTCGTCGTCGTCGTCGTCGTCGTCGTCGTCGTCGTCGTCGTCGTCGTCGTCGTCGTCGTCGTCGTCGTCGTCGTCGTCGTCGTCGTCGTCGTCGTCGTCGTCGTCGTCGTTGTCCGCGTCGTCGTCGTCGTCGTCGTCGTCCGCGTCGTCGTCGTCGTCCGCGTCGCCATCGTCGTCGCGGGATCGGTCAGCATCCAATCGCGCAGTCGGATCGAATCGAAATGTGCGTCGGATCGGGCTGCATCAACACGGAATCGACATCGGAAATCGGATCGGATTGGCTGCGCCAAGATGCCCAACAACGCCATGCAAGCATCGGGACGCATCGGATGGCCTGGACAGAGAAATATCCCATCGGATCGAGCCCGACAAGATCGGCATCGAGCCGCATCGATCGGATGGAAATGGAACCCGTCGCCGCCGTCGCCGTCAGAGTCGTCGTGGCCACCGCCATCGCCCTCTCGCGCGCGCGCCCTCTCCCGAGGCCGTCGTCGCCGAGGACGGAGAGGAGGCACGGGGAGGGGAGGAGGGGAAGAACGCCTCCTCCTCCTCCTCCTCCTCCTCCTCTTCCTCCTCCTCGTCGAGGCATCAGAACGACGTCCGCAGCCTAATGGCGCCTTGAGAAGAGCGCGGCCGAGCTCGAGTCTCGTGCCCACGGCGACGCGGGCGCCGCCGAAGACTAGGCGGGGGGCCGCGGACCTTGCCCGCTTCCGCGGCACCCCCTTCCAGGAGCGCGGAGGGGGTGGAAAGTGGAGGGGGATGGCGAGGAGGGGGAGGTGGAGGAGGAGGAGGAGAAGGAGGAGAAGGAGGAGGAGGAGGAGGAAGAGGAGGAGGAGGAGGAGGAACAGGAGGCGGAGAAGGAGGAGGAGGAGGAGGAAGAGGAGGAGGAGGCGGAGGAGGAGGAGGAAGAGGAGGCGGAGGAGGAGGAGGAGGGGGATTTTTTTGACCTCGACAGGCCTCACCGCTTCAATGACTGCTCGCAGCAACAGCGGGCACTGCAGCGAGAAAATCGCAGCTGCAAAGAAACACTGAACAACTATCTTAAAACAGCTGCGAATGTGAAGTGGGTGTGCCTGGGCGCTCCGCGAGGCCAGGCAGCAGAGACCCACCTCAGGGTGGCCCCTCACAGGCACACAGGGACCAAGGGGACCCTGCTACATCTGGACAAGGGCCGCGACTGAGGCACGGCAAGCACAGAGCCCCCGCCCTCCACACGAAAAGAAAGGAGGCGGCCCTCTACACAGGAGGGCGACCTAAACAAACGCCCACCAGAGTTAGGCGGGGAGCAAGGCCACCTGCAGGATCCTGCAAGTGGAAAAGCAGCACAGACCGACGGCCTTCGGCTGGACAAGAGGACAAGCGGATTCAGCCAGAGCGCTGGGCTGCGAAGTGTTGGGGCTAGGAGCCTGAGCTCCAGTCCACAGCAACACCTCCAACTGGGACGTGGGGCGGATCGCCCTCATACTCCCGAGACTGGGCACCTCCACGCGAAACGAACGCGAGCACGCACACGAACGAGAGGAGGGCCAGGCGCTGGGGCCAGGGACAACTCACCTGGCCACTGCATACGCCATTGGAGCGACAGTCGGGATAAACTTACCCCCGTGCTCCTCTGAATGGGACCCTCCTGGATGTGCGCACAACTTCCCCCAGATGCGGGGTGCCTGACGCGCGTGCGGACGCGAAACGACACGAGACGCACAGGATGGGCTAACACAAGGATGGCGAGGCCTGCCCCAGGTGCCGATGCGCCTGGGCGACAAAGCCTCGCCCCAGATGTAGAGCCAAAGCAACAAGAAGGATAACAAAAGGGCCGGGGCCAACACACATAACATTCTACCACCCACACAAGGACGACGAGGCCTCCAGCCCCTGGTGCAACGAGCGCCAGGACGACTGGATGCCTCGCCCCAGATGTGGGGTAAAGCACGGATGCATGCCAAAAGGGCCAGACGCATCGGGCCGTGCAAAAGAGAGAAAGCCAAACAGCTCTTAGAACAGTTCGAGCACATCATCACTAGAAACTGTCACTGGCCGACGTTTTTCGTGGGGGTGCAAGCCACTGCAGAGGTAATTCCAGCCAGTCCCAGCACGTCTGGATGGTTTACCTTCGCACCGCTCTCCAAGGCCTTTGACCCTGCTTCCAGCCGAGTGACATTTGCAACGAACACATATGAAGAGCACAGAGCCATCTGAACAATGAAATGCTATGACTCTATGCCCTAAACTTTGGAGAACATTATCATCTAACTTGGACCTATTGCTACGCATACCTGGAGGGGGCTCTTGCGGGGACCTTTTGCCGATCAAGCACTGGGGGCACCTCCGAATACCAGGCCACGTCTTCCAGGCGTGTGAGGTCTGAGAGTGGCTAGGCGCGGCAGGCGCAGGCACATAGGGAACGTCTAACGACAACTTAGGCCAGAGCGGCAGCAGATTGGCAGCTAGAATGCAGGAGGCACGGGCAACAGTAACTAAAGCGTCAACTTCCAAATTCAATGCCGCACCAGAAGGGTGTAGCTGGAGGCCATGCTTGGCACCAGCATCTGCATCTCTATTACCTAGGAGCAGAAATCTTTCACGCGAGGAGATGCCTTCTTCGTCCACGTCTCGGTGTGCCTTGATCTTGACGATGGACTTGATTTTATCTCCTTCCTCATTATTCGCATTTTAAATCATGCCTGAATATGGGCGCTTGCCCGAGCAGCGCCCAGGAATGTGCAGCAACGAGTGGTGCACAACGTTGGCACAGTCACTGTATAAGACCGAGGGAAGGCAAACAAAGTGAGCAACAACACATCTGGCAGAGTATTCAGCGGCTTGTGGTGTTTGGGGGAAGTGGGCCCAGACTGGGCCTCTGACCTCTCCAAGGCACTTCCCGTCAACCGAATTCATGGAAATGCACCGCGCAGCGCGGGAAAGTTCACGAACAACGTAGCGCTGGCAGGGCCCATCGAGGAACAGGTGACCCCACATCCTACCATTAGCGGGGACCAGAGGACCATCGGGGCTTTCGAGCTCTTCCACGTGCCAAGCATAAAGCAGGGCATTGGTGCCTTCCAGGGCAGGGCGCGGCAGCGCATCGGCGGCGTGAGCGAAAGCTCCTCGAGTATACAACGCGACCACGTGGCTGTCGGCCTCAGCAGCCCAGACACGAGCGGAATCAGCAACTCCCGAGGCGGGGGCCAGCTGAGCACGCAGCTGCTCCACCGCACCGAAAGAGCACTGCCACAGGCTGTGGAAGATGCTGTCGGGGGCCTGCCGACAGAGCGGACAAAGTTCGACAACCTGATTGATATCCACAAGACAACGCTCTGTCAGCAGTCCAGATGGCGTCACACGAACAGGCTCTGATCCACCCCCTCTGCGCGGGGGGGGGGGGGGGGGGGGGGGGGGGGCCTTACTTTGAATGGCGGCTATGGGCGCATCGAGGCAAACTCTGCAGTCCAAGTCCCATTTAGCTCCCAAGTCCCTTTCCAACCCTCTGTGGTAAGCATCCTCACGCAGGGTTTCCAAAAGGCTAGGTGGGGTGAGGCCCAGACTAAACTTGCAGCCTCTATCGTCCGTTATCGCGATGTAGTCGTCCATGGCCCATCCGAGGCGCACAGGCGCGAGCCTGAGCGCCGAAAAAGGGGGCCACGAACAGTAGGCCAGGTGAAGCGAGGAAGAGCAACAACTGACTGCCAGTTTCTCCTCAACTCAGGATGCTGGATGGAGGACGGATGAACACGAGTCTGGGCTAACCAAATCTCTTTGCTCCACCTCAGCAACGGGGCGCAGGCAGCACGCCAGCAAGGGTCGTCAGACAACAAACTGGCGGCCGTGAGAGAACGCCCTTTAGAGAAAGGTCTGGCCGTCGAGAAGGCTTGCCTTCGCATCGTCAGCAGGACCTGATCACTCACTCCAAGAATGTCCGCGCCGTACGTCCCTCCAGGGAGAGGGCCGCGCGCGTGCACTCTCAGAGCTCTGCGACCAATGGTGCCTGACTGACGCTTGAGGCGTCGAGCTTTCCTCCCAGCCAAGGCCACGCGGGCTTTGAGCTTGGAGCAACGGCCAGCAACGCGCGCAGCAGCTCCAGCGGTGTAATCCACACCGAGGTTGACCGTCGAATCGGTGACCCTGGCTCCCAGCTGGCCGAGCGCAGAGGCAAGATCACGACCAAGAGACTTACACGAGGCAACAGCACACACCTCATCTAAAGAAAGTTGGCAACTCATCATGTCAGGGGCAGTGATGGCACGATGAAGGGCAGCAGTGGCAGAGCCGAGACTAGCGACAACATGCTGACGAGTGCCAGTGCAAGAAATACTCGTGTCATCGATGTACGCATCAAACTCCAGGGAACGAATGGGGGGGATGGTATCAAACGAGGACATAGCATACACTCTGATATGAGTAGTGGCCATACTACACCCAGCAATCACTCCATTGTCCACGAAATGAGGACCGTCCAGGATGCCAGCAATCGAGACGAACCTGCAGCAACGATAGGCGAAGAGGGTGAGCCGAGTGAGCACTTGGGGGAAATCCACCTGGGCACAGCGGGCTTCAAGGGTGTCGACGTGAATAGTTTCGTAATGCTTCAGCATGTCGCAAAAAAAACACTCGCACTGCATTCATGTCTGGAGGTGCCAGCTTCTGCTCGAACTGACTGCCTCCACACAACATCCGAAGCTCCCCGAAAAGCACCAGTATCGACGGGGGTGTTGCTGCTCCCAGGACAGAGCATGGGGCCGCCGAAGACGGCCCCACACTCTGGACCAAGAGCAG